ACCGGATACCTGTCCACCGAAGGGAATGCGGTTGGCTGTTGGCTTGAAGCCGTAGACGCCGCAGCATAATGCTGGGATGCGGATTGAGCCGGCGATATCGGTCCCCACGCCTAGGATGGATCCGCGGAATGATACGAGTGCGCCTTCGCCGCCGCTGGATCCGCCTGCTGTTAGGGTTGTGTTGTGGGGGTTGAGGGTGCGGCTGAAGATGTTGTTCTCGGAATCGGCAGTCTAAAGTATGGTTAGATCTATGTAATTGTAGGATTAACATAGGATAGGATGTGCAGACTTACCATCATTGTCTGTGGGATGTTCGTCTTGACGTATAGTACCGCTCCAAGCTTCAACAACATCTTCACGAGCGCGGAATTCGTCTTCGATGGTTCATCTTTCAGAAGGGCGACATATCCAACTGTTGACTGTGTACCCTCAACACAGAAGCTATCTTTTAGACTTATAGGTAGACCATGGAGAGGTCCAATAGGTCTCCCTTCACGTTGAAGGTACTCATCCAAATACTTAGCGCGCTCAAGCGCCTCAGGGAAGAATGACTCTGTTAGACAAGATAGCTACAGGTACAAATAATACATCAGCAACGTTCAAATGCATCAAGTTTAAGAAATACTCACAACCTGCTGCGCAATAGCAGCCCTCTTACAAAATGCCGTTGTAACATTCAAAGAACTAACACATCCAGAAGCCAACTTAACCAATAACTGACTGGCGGTATAATTCTCCGTAATATCCAATTCGCTCTCAGAAAGAAGACCACTGCGACGGGGCAAGTCGTACTCCAACAATCGCTGGGGTCGACCCGCAAGGATGTCCCCGCTCAGGGCCCATTCGCGGGGGATCTTCTGTTCGCACTCGCGTTTCTTTTGCGCGACAAGGTCTTGCCAGTTGGAGGGGTTTGAGTCGGATTCCATTGTTGGACTGGGAGGTATGATGCAAATGGATTTAGATGCTGTCTTTCGTGTTTATGTAGTGTTTCTGGTTGGGTTTGTCGGTTATCTTTGCATGTAATATACTTGGCTGTGACCCACTTAGGAAGTGTGTCGGCCTGCCTGTTTGGGATAGCTTGGGTTGCAGCCGAGGCAGGTGGTTTGGAGATGTTGGCTATTGTTCCTGTGGATTTGTTACCTGCTTAGTCTAGCTTCGTTTATAGTTCTATATACTTGCGGCTAATGCGTCGGCACTTGTTCTTCGCTTGTGAAGGATGGAGAAATTGGATTGATAAGAGACATTTAACAAGGTCCTAAGCCTATTCAAGAGTGGTAAGAGACCTTTCGGCATCAACTAAAATTCCCACCTCTATCTTGCCACCACATTCTCAGGCTTAACACCTGGGAAATTGGTCAAATAATACGCATCAATCCAGATCTTCTCATCCTCACAGCACATCACACCCAGGCAAACCAATCCATTCAACCAATTGTAAGGACCCGGCCCAGCCTCGATACGCAGATGGGAGAAAAACTCTACATCGTCCTGAGAGACCGTCGCAGGCGGAACAAAATTCGGATCCTCTTCGACAGATTTAGCGTAATTGGTCCCTGGACCTGGGCGATACAAGCCGTGTGCGCGGATGTAGAGGTAATGATTATCAGACGTGCGGACCGTGTAGCGGGCATCTAGGGTCATAGACTATAAATTATATTGTTAGCCGGCTATTTTGAATCTGCACGCCGAAGTTCCGTTTGCAAAGCGCGAAACACGGAAAAGAAATAAAGAAATAAAGCAGAATGAAGGGAATTGCTAACATGTGTGCCCTTCACGACTGTCGCCCAGTCTGCGCCTCCCAAGGGTAGGATTTCACCCTCAATTCCAGAGCCTTTGACGCTGCCCCGCACGATATTTGCAATACTGCGAATGGTATCGCCGTTGTGGGGAGCTCCAAGTTCAATGTCTTCGGTAGAGCATTCCAGTCTATATAGCCAGGACATCGATGGTTGGCGCATAGTAGGGCCATTGGGGAAGATGCCGTTGCCGGGGGATGAAGTGGGAGACATTGTGAAGATGGAATTTAGATGTGAGTTCTAATTGCAGTAAATATGAGTGTCCATACTACATATATGTCCACAAACTACATATTTGTTTCTATAAGTTCTTATCTTCTCCCCGCAATCTCCAAATTCAAAAGAGAAGGTTGACCCACCGGCGCGTTTATTGCAACTTGAACTTTTGAGGAACTCCGTGAAATCAGTTCATTCACTATAACTGGGAGATACAGAATAGGGAGGTCCAACAGGTCATATCTGATTTGTGAGCTGATAAAATCCCTGACCTATTTCAGCCTCCGACCTTTTGATTTTTTGTTCTCATTCTCATTCTCATACTTCACCTTCGACTTCAAACGTGATAGATATTCGTTCTTACTCGACTTATAGTGCAATTATAAAAGGGCTGGTTGACTTGTACCGCTCACCTGACTCTTTGCTTTTTGCTCCCCTCAACTTTGAGTCCATACTCCATCTAAACTTCAGCGTCAGCACCAAATCATGCCTTTCGCAACCGATATCCTAACCGACCCCTCGCTCCCGATTTCTGCACGCCAGCAAGCTCTGAACCGTGTTCACGCAGATCCAGGGATCCCAAAGAGCTCAACGACCTCATCCTTCTGGATCCAACCCAAACACGACTTTAGCCAAACCCCATCAAAGCCTCTGCCCACCGAGACGGACACCGTTATCATTGGATCAGGCATTACCGGTGCATCTATAGCGCGTACGCTATTGCAAACCCGCACCTCCCAGCCCAAGGCTTCAAAACCATCCGTGGTTTTACTCGAAGCCCGGACGATTTGCAGTGGAGCTACGGGACGGAATGGAGGCCATATCCTGGAGACCGCAGATGAATATGCCGAGCTGGCTGATCAATTTGGCGTTGATGATGCGCGCAAGATTCTCAAGTTCAGATTGGCCCATTTGCACGAGATCCTTGCTGTTGCAAAAGAACTGGGGATTACAGAGGAGACCCAAGCGCGTAAAGTACAGTTTTTGAGTGCTTATTTTACCAAAGACACATGGAAAGAAGCTTTGGAGAGATTGCGCCGTTTCAAGGAGGGTATGCCTGAAGAATCTGCTGAGTGGACTTCATATGAGGGCGATGCTATTCCACAGGTATGTTACCATAACTATCAGTTTCCTCTTCTGCGACATTTTTGAAGTGTCTTCCATTCGACATATAAGGAATTAATACTAATATGACGTCCAGGAATTTCGCCTCGCTCGAGCAAGTGGCATCGTCGCCGGTCCCGCAGGTGCTCTCTGGCCCTACAAGTTCGTGACAGGCATCTTTTCACGCCTCAAAGCCGACTATCCAAACGACTTCCGCATGGAAGAAAACACCCCCGTAACTGCCATCCAAGAAGACACATCCAGTTCCGCGCCACGCTACAAAGTCGAAACCAGCCGAGGCACAATCCTCGCCCGGCACGTCATCCACTGTACAAACGCACACGTCGCACACCTAGTCCCTGGCCTCCGCGGACGCATATTCCCAGTCCGAGGCCAAATGTCCGCCCAAACTCCCGGCGATCAATTCCCCTGCCAAGCTAGCGAGCACTCCTGGCTATTCAACTATGACCGTGGCTTCGACTATCTGACCCAATTACGAGAGGGACAGATGATGCTTGGTGGGGGGTTCGCAAAGAGCGAGCATGGCGGACTGTCCGATCTGGGTATCTCAACTGATTCCGAGCTAAGTCTTGATATTGATATCCATCTCTCCGGTGTACTGAGTGCCGTCTTCGGACGGAAAGATTGGGGTCGTGTGCAGGGTGATCCCATTCAGGCTATGTGGACGGGTAATATGGCCTTCAGCTCTGATTCTTTTCCTTGGGTGGGACGGTTGCCTGGTGCTGTTACACGTCGTGCAGACCATGGTGATGATGGCTCCGAGTGGGTTTGTGCTGCTTTTGGTGGCGAGGGGATGGTTCAGGCTTGGCTTTGTGGGAAGGCGCTGGGTACTATGTTGCTTGAACGAGATGGTGTGTTGGTTGGGAGCGATGCTGATATTTCGTGGTTCCCTGAGCAGTTGCGTGTTTCGGAGGAGCGGTTTGGCGTGACTGAGTTGCCTAGGGAGGCTGTTGTGGAGCGCCAGCGGGCTAGTTTGCAGATGGGGGTGACATTGAATTTGTACCCCAGATGGGATCTTAAGTAGTTGATCAGATGCTTTATTTGAGATTGTTTTATGATCATACTTTGTTAGAGCTTCAGTCTATCTTGATCGGTTTCAGTTGATATGTTCAGGCCCTGTAAAGCGTAGTCACCGCGTAAATTGTTGTGAGTTACTTGGTAGTTCCAAGCTATTTCAATAACTGATCAGCTTTTGACATAGCATATCCATATCCTACCGTCTCCTATGGAGATTTTCATGAGTAGATAACGGATATGGAAAGTCCCGAATGATATACCCAGCAAAGCTCGCCATATTACACCAATAATATCCAAGTTGCACAATGGCAACCTGGCTGTATCTTATCTGATGTGGATAGCTCACTTAGCGAATAGGAATTGGACGCAATTGAAATATGGTGGGACATAGATAAATCGGACTACACAACAGCACGTCGGGAGAAAAGCATAATCCAACCACACCCCAGACCCTAGTCCCAGATAGATCCCGGGTGATCAGCCCTAGTCACAGGATTTCGCGATTAGGCTGCCAAAGTAAAGTATTTTCTGTTCTACAGGAAAGAGAACGAACTTAGAATGTCTTAACATTGATACTGACCGTTCCTTTGTTCTTGCAACAAAATCTGACAGGGGATTTTATCAGGAGAAGACAATTGTAGCAGGCCTTGATTGTTTGTTTAGTCTATTGTTCTTTGTTTTGAGCCTTCATCCTAGTACCCACGGCATCTGGCAGGCTAAATTACAATACATGTAAATTTCTAGATCACCTCAGGACCCAAAGAAAAATAATCTCAACAATCCCACAATGAGTAAATATATCAACTGATATATGCAATGCGCAAGACTTGAATCTCAACACAAAATTCAAGTCAAAGTCTTCGCCAAGCCACTGCTGTCGACATTACTAAAGATCCACTGACTGAAGTTGCTCGGAGCGGCCTGGTTGCAGGGAATTCCGGAGTTCTTCTGGCCAAGAACATTAGTGCATTGGAAGATTTCGTGCTGAATATCGGTGCCGTAGTAAGGCAGACCAAGCGAGGCATTAACGCTGGTAATGTTCACATTTTCAAATGTGATATTGGGACAAGGCCGCTCATCCGAACAGTACATAGACGCAGCAATGTTGAAGCGCGATGTGCCACGGATGTCTTGCCATTTAACATCCTCGACCTGCAACTTCGATGTGTTGCATCCTTTGTTGGAGTTGGCCGAGTAGACGCACTGCGAAAGCTGGATCGGAAGTCCAACATTTTCCATCGTGAAGTTGCGGAATGTGATATTCTTCACGAGGCCGGTTCCACCACCACCCCAGTCGCCATTGCTGGGGTGTTAGATCCGTGTGCCTTGCCAGGTCTTGATGTAAGCACCATCCATTGCGTTTTTGACATGCACGTTTTCGAAGGTGGTGTTGAGGTTGTAGTCTGGTGTCTCGGGGTATTGACCGATAGAACCAATCGTGATTCCTGTTCCTCCTTCGCAGTAAACGTTCTTGACGTGGAAATTGGTTGTGTTACCCTTTGCGGCGATGCAATCGTCGCCCATGATAATAGTGGCGGTTTCCACGAGAATTGAGTCACTCTTCCAGGAATCGAAGCCATCAGTGTTCATTGTGCCCCATTTGCTGTTGCTGGTAGCGTTGACGAACAAGTTGGTAAAGGTTACATTCTTGCTATCCCAGACAAAGGTGGCCCAGAACTGCGGTTAAATGACCCTTAAACTATCGACGAAAAGGTTGGTCGAGTTGTAGAATGTAATACTCATTGGCCGTCCTGGCTGGTTCGACTGGTTTCTGTTGGCGTTATACCATTCTTGGCCCTGGCCGTTGTAGAAGCCACCCTCGCCATAGAAGTTGACATTTGTACCACCAAAGAGCCAAGCAGTGACTTGATCCTGCAGAACAACGCTGATGGTGTGGGTTCTCCAGTATGGGATGTTGGTAGAGAAGCGCAGTTCTCCGTGGAGATGAACATCACAGTTCAACAGGTTCGTGGTATTGAGAACGGTGTTGACATGGAACAAGTTCTTAGAGAAAATGACCGTGCCATTGGTACCACACATATCAAATGCTTGCTGAATTGAAGGAGAATCATCAACGGCTTGCCCGCGATGGGAAAGCGACTCGGGGTACAAGGTGCATGTTGTACCTTCGTTGACGACCCAGGCCTTCACCAACGTGACCCAGAGGGCAATAAACCACAGATTCATGGCTTTCCTTAGTCAGGAATTCAATGACTGCGGATTGAATAGTCGTGATCAGCAAAAATCTGAGATTTCAAGGGGAAAAAGCCTCTTATGTAGCTAAATATGGAAAAGAATATTTCCCACAGACCCCCACGAATGTGACATCATATCCCCATAGTCTTCACGAGCATTAAAATAGGCTATTTACACAGACGCTACTCTAGAGACGGCGGCTATTGAGTGCGAGAATTTTGAATGCCGAAATGACGCGGGGTGTTGGAGTATGGGGACGCTAGGAAATGCTTCACTGGCCAGGGTTTGGCGTCAAGGCTTAGCTTCGGCATATCTCTTGGTTTCGGCGCCACATATATACCGGATAATGTCTGGCAACTCTTGGCGGTCTCCTTCCGTTCTAGTGCTCACCCTCTCGCCGCTTTTGCTCACTGAGTAGAATTGAGCACACCCCTGAGCGACCTGAGCTGGTCAGTGATCATTCCGTAATCAAACTGATCCACTCACTGAGCCTGACCTAGCATCCCGGTTTGCTTACTAAGCTCATCCAGAGCGGAAGTGACCTGAGTAAGCGGGCTCAATAAAACGCGACACGCTAGCTTGATTCCTGTACAACTTTTTTCCTTTCAGATTACAACTCCTATCTCACCTACAAAGAGTTGGCGTCGTAAGTTTGCCACTGATTTGGCGATCTTTCCCTTTGCAAGCAGGATGTACGTAGTGAATATTGTTTAATTAGACAATTTGCCTTATCTTAGATTTGATGCTCCTGGGAGCATTCTTCATTTCCCCGATACATTGGCCAGATTTAGGTGACCTACGGAGGCAAATGTGATATAGTGTATTTCCTAGATGGAACTACGAATTTTCTTTCGTTTTTACTAGCCACATTGCAGATTTCTCTATGAAAATTTACATACCCTTCTACGGTCACCTACTACTTAGCTAAAGATCTTTTAGGGGTTTAAACGTCATGCAGTTTTCGCCATATTGAGTGGGACAAACGGGAACGTAAGATCTGCTATCCGCATATACCCAAACAATTACTCCTACGTTCGAATAACCTGGTCAAATAGTCTCCGAAAAACCGCAGGTCGAGCGCATTGGAAACAAGTTCGAAATATGCCACGGAAACCAGACGGCACTGAAACGGTCCAGATCCTCGATTTGTTTATTCTTGCTTCCTCTAGGTGACCATAGGACACCTGTAGTTTGGCATCAACTCTTCCTCTTCTTCAATCTCCAGTTAATACCCACTCCCCACTTGGCACCTCGCCTAGTATAGCATGTCTCACCTGCCCCCGGGTGCCAGATCGATTCCATGGTCCGCTATGGCGCATCGTCCTGACTTGCCTTGACACCGCTCCACAATAAACCGTTATCAAACAGTCTGATTAGGAAAGGTCTCGGTACGAGTCAGAAGACCACTATAATTTTTTTCGGCAATAATAACATTTGGAATCTCAGATTCTCTATATTAAGAGGACGGCAGGGAAAATCAAACAACCGTTCTGGGGCTTAGCGCTCTAAGCTGAGCGGACGCGGCCCCACGCCATCAATCATGCCACCTCATCTCTCTGTCCAAATTAGCCCAACTTTTCTTTGGCTCGATCTTGCGCGATCTCCGCAAAAGGACGAAATTTGTCATATTGAGCGCGTCTATGAACAAAGGCCTGTCAATTATTGATAACCATGACCCCACGGCGTGCTAGCCTTTTGAAGCTCAGCTCAGCTCCTTCTAGCGTGCTTACATGCTATGCTTATCCTTGCTGGCTCCGCCCTAATGGGTTGGTGTGTCCTTCTGAATTCAGTTTTAATTTGGAAAAGTCTGTCCATATTTCGTAATTTATTTCGATCAATCTATTTGCTTAAATTCAATTTATCACCGAGGCACACAAAATTTACCACTCAGCCGCTTCCGAAAGAACAATCTAGTTTCCATTGACAAATTTCGTGAGAGTAGCAGGGTCTTGATCAAGGTACCACCTGTGTTCATATTATTAGCTTCGTTATAGCACTGAAGGGACGGGACAACGTACGTAGGATCAGCTTCCTCCTCTGGCGACAACTCATGCGACAGGAACCCATTGTTGAGCCAAGCGAAGTCCAACTTCGGTTCGGGGCATCGACTCTCCCACTCAAAGTCCTCATAGCGATGGCGACGAAGCAGTTCAAAGTAGTGCAACCGAGAACCAGGATGGAAAGCATGCAATGCACCACTCGCCTCGCCATTCTTGAATGAGCTCTGGCAAGAGTCACCCCAAACCGTCTTGTCCAACCACGACAACATCTGGAATTGGTAGGCCTTGGCCTTTCCATCCTTCAGGCGGAACGAGGAGTAGTTCTCTCGCTGCAACTTTTTGATCATGTCCACCAGGTACAGAGTGATGCGTTCAATGGAGGTGATCATACTGCCGTGGCCGACTGGGCTGCCGGGTCCCATGTAGATGAAATAGTTTGGCATGTCCTGCGCGATCGCTGACATGTAGCAGGCTGGATCTTTCTCCCATTGCGTTTGGAGGTTTACACCGTTTCGTCCGATGACGGGCCAACGAGGGATGAAGGACATGTCGAATCCAGTAGCAGCGATAATGACATCAAAGTCACGCTCCGTGCCATCGTGGGACTTCAGACCAGTCTTGGTAAAGGAGTCGATTTCTCCCCAGACAACCTCACAGTTATCAGCAGCGAGCGCTTGGAGATAGCCTGGTCCGGGAGTCGGTCGGCGACATCCAACGCCGAAAGAAGGAATAATGAGATCAGCAACTTCAGGCTTCTTCTCTAGCTTGGAGCGCATATCCTTGGTAGTGAAATTGCGAGCCATTTCCTGGAACTCGCTCTCTCGGATATACAAGGGGAATCGGAAGTTCAGTTCCTTCTCGATTTCTTTGCGAAGAGTGAGGTATTCTTCTGGGTTCTCGATCCACTTCTTCTGCTGCTCCTCGTCGTAGGTCAGGTTGGGTACACCTTGTCCGATGAATCTAGAGCCGAGGTTGGCTGTCACCCATGTTGGGGATCGGATGTACGCCCCGACATGACTGGCGACTTTCTGAACAGCTGCAGTGACTTGGATTCCACTACTTCCGTTACCAATAACAGCGACCCTCTTGCCGCGAAGATCAATCTCAGGATCGTAGTTGGCGCTGTGAGCGAGGATGCCCTGGTAGTTCTCGCGACCGGCAACATTGGGCCATCTCCAGTTGTTCAAGTACCCGCTGGCATTGATGAAAACGTCGCATTCCTCAACAATGTCATCGCCAACCTCTCCATCGGAAACACCCTTGGCAGAAACAACAGTACGACGGCCATCTGTGTTCTTGCTGGTGACGATCCACTTTTGTTTCTGCTCGTCCCAGACAGCCCCGGTGATCTTGCGACAAGTCGTAACATATTTCTTCAAACCAAACTTATCGACCACATTCTCGATATAGTCAAGAATTTCAGATGCCGAGACGTAAAATGAGGACCATTTGGGGTTAGGGGCCCATGTAAACTAGACAGTATCAGTATACAGGAACGAAATATCGCGAATAGTTGTAGATTGAGCATACCAAGTAGTTGTGGGAGGGAATGTCGCAGGCACATCCGGGGTAGCGATTCTCGAGCCACGTTCCTCCCAACCCAGCATTCTTTTCAAGGATCTGGAGATCGACATTGGGCAATTGGCCGCTTTCCACAGCATGAGCGAAAGAAATTCCACTGATACCCGCCCCGGCAAGAATGACCTTCACACGTCGAGGAGTATCGAAGGGAAGCTTGGATTGTTCATAGGCAACTGGGTATTTGTTGCGGTATGCTTCGGTGGCTTCGATAGGCTTGAGTGGTGCCTCTCCACCGGCACCATTGGCCTCGACAGATTGAACCATATTCAAAATCGAGCCAGGAATATTGATGTGTTGGTAAGGTGGGTGAAGATGTTGCTGGGTAATTTGAACGGTCGGTTTGAAGTGAAAGGGTTGGTAAATAAGGTACTTATGGTTAAAGTAATCTCATGTTGAAAGGCTCCCATGTATTCCGCGAGGACTGATGCATTCTGTTCTAATGGAATAGTGTGATACCGGGAAAGGCATCCCATGACGATTCTACCTTGATGGTGGGTGAGGTAAGGTTACGAGGTGAGCCGGAACTGAAGCATAACGGAACTGTCATCCACAGCTGTTCCGAAAGGCGGCGGGAACCACCTGGTCCCAACGAACAAGGAAACTTTACATCCAAATGGTCCGAAATTTCACAATTTATCCAGTGTATCCGTAACTTGCTTAGAAAATACGGTATACTGATTTCATTCCGAGTGAAACAGTTGTCGGATACCACCGTATTTCGGCTTCAACCGAGAAAGTAGGTGCTACTTAAGACAAGGGAAAATCCGAATCAATAAATCATTATCACACAAGTTTGATTCTTTCCGTTTCTATTGAGTCGCAGTACCTTGCAAGCAAAATGTCCTACGCCGATCTTAAGAACAAAGTCTTCTTCGTTACGGGCGCTGCCTCCGGGCAGGGCCGCGCTACCTCTATTCTCCTCGCTCGTCAAGGCGCGAAACTTGCCCTGTTGGATCTTAACGACCCCCAAGAAGTCATCGATGAGATTGAAAAGGTTGGCGGTGAAGCCATCGCATTCAAAGTTGATGTTGTCAACTCTGCCGGAATCGAGGCTGCCGTGAAAGCAACCAAGGAGCACTATGGCAAGATTGACGGTGCAGCCAATCTCGCCGGATGGATTGGAACTCAGGGTTTCACAGGAAAGGGGTATGCACTGGATGTCATCAAGGACGAGGAGTGGGATAAGATGATGTCAATCAATCTGAACGGTATTCGGAACAGTTTGTCAGCGGAGCTTAGACATATTGCCGACGGCGGAAGTATTGTCAACGTCGCGAGTATTGCAGGCCAGCGAGGCTCTCCATGGAATGCTCCATATGGAGCTGCTAAGTGGGGTGTTATTTCCTTGACTAAGTCGGCTGCTCAGGAAGCGGGACCTAAGAACGTTAGAGTCAACGCCGTGGCTCCGTG